CTGTATACCTGTATGATCTATACAGTTTTCTTCTACTGCATTTGCCATCCCTAACTGCGTTCAAGCTGTTCTTTGGTGTGAGTGTGTGTGGGTTGGGGAGGGGGCTCGATATTGAAGGATTCAATTGCCCAAACGCAACTAGTTTGGTATAATCAATCTTTTGACTTCAGGTATAGCTCTTTCTTTGTGCTTCATATCATCTTGCTACTTTCCACTTGCCAAGCCCCATCCCCCACCAAAGGGCTCCCACTTGATTAAGTTGATACTGCCTTATCTATGTGATGCAGGATTAAAATATCACACCCTTCTCTCTCTCTCTCTCTCTCTCTCATCTTCTCTAGTTTCGTGGATTGTACTTTTTGCAGGCTGGGAACATTTTAGTTGATACCAGTGGTGCAGTCAAGTTAGCTGATTTTGGAGTGTCGGCTTGTATGTTTGATACGGGTGATAGGCAAAGATCAAGAAATACTTTTGTTGGGACACCCTGCTGGTAGGAAGCTGGCCAAGCCACTTCATATGCTAGATACACTCTTATATCACAAAAGAAAGTTATATGATTAAAGATTGAAAATAAAATTTATTCCTAACTGTTATCTAGGATGGCACCGGAAGTAATGCAGCAACTGCATGGATATGATTTTAAGTGAGTACAATCCCACATTTTGGATTTCTTTAGATTATGATCTAGTTGCTCTAAGTCTAGTTCCACATGTACAGAGCAGATATTTGGTCACTTGGGATAACAGCACTTGAACTAGCTCATGGGCATGCACCGTTTTCGAAGTACCCTCCTATGAAGGTGACATTCAAAAAGTTGTTTATTGCATTTGGAGTGATAACAGATTTCTCAAAAGCTATTGTTAATTAGACTTTTTTCTCTTAATTTAGGTTCTGCTCATGACGCTGCAAAATGCACCACCAGGTCTGGACTATGAAAGGGACAGGCGATTCTCCAAGGTCTGTTTTTGTTGGATAACATTTTGGGAATTGATATAAGCACTCCCTCTTTGATATTGACACTCCACCTTTTTCAGTATTTTGTGTATAGATGATTTAATCCTTAACAGAAAATTATGTTTTTAATTGATATACTCCCTCCGTCTCAAAATGAAGTTTACACTTTCTCACTTTCCCTTTTAGTATGAAAGTGCAGCTTTTATAATTTCTTACTTCTAAATACATTTCAACCACACACCTTTCACTTTCAACACTTTTCTTAAACTCCATGAAGTCAAAGTGTAAATTCATTTTGGGATGGAGTACTTGTTTCAGAATCTTCTTATAGATTGAAATATACTGAGTACTATATTCAACTGAAATTCATCAAAATTAACTAAATTGTATTGTAGCGAACTAAATTGAACTGAGAGTTGAATTATTTAATTTCAATTACTCATTTAGTGTGGATTTTAATTAAATCATTACGAAATAATTATTTAACATTTGGATTAAATTTAATTTGAGTTGAATTTTGATATTATGAAACACGGTTTAAGGAAAGTATTAAAAAGAGAAAAAGTGTTTGTTTTTTTTTTTAATTAGAAAAGAGAGAAATATTGTGACAGATCCATATCATTAAAAGAAAATGAGGAGATTATTTGAGGAAGCACTTAAAAAGGAAAATGTGAAGTTTAAATAAAAATTAAGTATAATTTAATGAACATGGATGTTAGCAAAATATTTCAGATTATTATTTTCTTTGTAGCTTAGCAATATTTCTATTGTTGTTTGAACCTTTTTTTCATTTTTATATATTTAGTCAATACGAAAAAATCCTAGACAACAATGTCAATTACAGAATTATTTTTTGTTCAAGGGTGAAATTGTCAATATATGACATTAGTAAAAAAGGGGGAGTGCCAATGTCAAAACGGGGAGTGCCTATAGGCTATAACAACTACCCAACATTGTCTTAGTAGCTATAACATTGTTTTGAGTGAAGTATTTTGCATATGCAGTCTTTCAAGGAAATGGTTTCTGCATGCTTAGTGAAGGATCCAAAGAAGCGTCCCTCCTCAGAAAAGCTTTTGAAGCACCCCTTCTTTAAACAAGGACGTTCACATGATTACTTGGCACGTACCATTCTTGAAGGCCTTCCCCCTTTAGGTGATCGTTTTAGGATGCTTAAGGTCTTGTGCTACTCTTTTGTCTGTAGTTTCTAGACTCTTTGTGTCTTATTCTATATTTGTAACTTTGACTTCTGAATTCTTGTGATATATTGCGTGACTGCTTTTTACAGACCAGAGAATCAGACGTTCTTGTACAGAACCAGGCATTGTATGAGGACAAGGAACACTTATCCCAGGTGAGCAATAAAGTTGCATGCTAAATTTTTCTCTTGATCCAAAAAATATATTGAGCATGATAGCATGCTTCATAATGAGCATGTTGATGATATGGATCATCAAGATGAAATCACTTTATGAGGTGGCAACGTCCTAGGGGTTCATGTCACCAACATGCTCATTATGAAGCATGCTGGCATGTTTCGTATATTTTTTTGTCTCTTTACCAGATATCTAAGTACTCCATATGATAGCTCTTTTACAATCATGCTTCTGGTATGTGAATGAAATTTTGCATTTGTGGGCGGAAGTGGGGGTTTTTTTCTTGTTATGTTCTGCTGTGCAGAAAAGAGAGTTAGATTATTTTCCAGGTTCCCCCTCCCACCCCCACCTATTTTGGGGACTTTGAGTAGTCATAGGAAGATGGAATTTGCAAAGCTTGATGTCTCTAAGAGTGATTTCGGCTTTGCTTTCAATGATATCTCTACTGTTGATGTGCTCCATGGTCCTCTTATATATAATTAATACTGTCCAAAAAAGAAGAAATGTAACTTTTGTTTTAAAATGAAGTGCGGTGCATTTTAGTCCTGTCTACTGTCTAGTTCCATCAGTATCTCCCCCTATCTGTCTAGTTCCATGATGCTCCTCTTCCTAATGGAGAGAAATATAGGATGATAAATCCAATGCTGAATAGAAAAATAATAAAGCATAAAAAATGTTGAATAGAACTTAAAGATATTGTTCTCCTTTCTAAAGGCGTGTCTTCATTTATCTGAGCCTGAACTGTGCTTTTGTTGCAGCAAGAATACATTCGTGGAGTCAGTGCATGGAATTTCAACCTCGACGATTTGAAGAACCAAGCTGCTCTTGTACATACATATTCTGTGACCATTTCTCAACTCCGCTTATGTTATATGGAAGATAAATCTAGATAATTAATGGGTTTACTTCTACATTGTGTCTGTAGATACCAGATGATGAAATTTCTAGTACTGAAGATCCTACTGGAAGTGGGACACTAAGAAATAGACATGATGCTGGTTCTCCAATAGAGAAACTATCCTCCAACATGGCTAATCATTTGAATAATATGTCACAGGAGGTATATCCTGTTATTAATATCTAAGTCCTGCCTACTTTTTTTGAATCATCGTGCAATATTCTCTCACTTCATAATGCACCATTTACCTACATCTTCAGCTCTGTCCAGATTGTTGTTTCAAGAATTGATATTTTTTTATGTTTCTTCTACACAGGAGGGTCTAGATGACATTCAGGATCTGGAGGACTCACTTGCAGGGTTTCCCATTAAACCCCTTCAGGCACTCAAGTAACTAGTTTTCCCATTTACTTGGTGTGTGTGTGGGTGGGTGGGTGCGAGAGTGAATCTGACTTCTGTTCATTCATGTCTACATTCTTCCACTTTGGAGACCCCTAAATTAAAACATATCTGAAGTAGTACATGGTATGTGTGAAATGAAGGAATCTGGGGATGGGATTTAGTAATACATATGAAGTACACATACTACTGCAATTATGATAACTGTGATTTTACTTGTTGTCTTGTCCGTTTGGAACCAAGAAAATGCTAGTGAAAGAAAATATATGCAAATTTGGAAGAAAATTAAATTTGGGGGAAAATAAAAAGATATGCTCAAACTCAATAAATCCTTTTTAGATATTTGCACATACTCATTTTGTTTATACATTTATGTTACATAAACACTAAAAAATAATTATTTGCAGAAAAAAAAAAGCTTTCATATTTTCCATGGTAAAGCGAAACATTAAAAATGATTTTCCTTGGCATAGTTTCCCTTTCCGTACAAGTGTCTGCCTTCCAAACATAGTTTTAGGAATTCATGTTACGTGGCAAGTTTATAATACTTGATTGGTTCAAAATTTATTAATGTGTTTTCCAATGCAAATTCGCGGCAGGGGCTGTTTTGATGTTTGCAAGGATGACATGGATGGTGACAGCCCACGTTGGAAAGATGTTGTTCCTTCTGAGTCTGAGCAGCAGAACTATGCACAACCATTGACCAACGATGTGGATCATGAAGGTGGAAAGGATAACGAGAATCTAGGACAAAACAGCTCCTTGGCCCGTACTTCAATTCAAGGGTGTAAAAAGTTTTCGAGTGGTTCACTACTACAGGATAATAAAAAGGGTATAACTAATGGAGAGAGGTATGATATTCAACTCTTTTTTCCTGGTCTTTAGTGCTAGTGGATACCGTTATGGGATCACCCAGTGTGAACTGTAATGATCCTGGGTATGGTATGGGCTTAAAGGAGCCTCCTACAGTTAGGGAAGACTCAGGTCACCGTGTGCTCATAGCAAAATAAAATAAAAAATTGTTTTTTACAGGCAATTCTAGCATCAAAAAGCTACCTAAAATGATGTTTCAAATGTTTTAATTTTTAAGGCAGCCTACTGCCCACCACTTTTGTGGGACCCTTCCTCCCCTTGTGGGGGTTTATAGATAACTGATTAGTGATGTGCTTCTCTAATTAATATGAAGGGAGTATCAGCAGCCAAGATATCAATCTGAACGAAACTACAGTGGTCCACTGCAGTATAATCACAAGAAAGAAACCGGTAATGTACTACTAATGATGCTTTACTAATTTTTAATAGTTTAACCTTCTTTACGGACTAGAGCTTCTTGTATCAAATCATTCCTTTAGCCCTTGTTTGTTGGAGGAGGGAAGGGGAGGAAACTGGAGTATTTTGCTCCGCATTATTATTGTTATACATATTACTCCATAGCATATAGTTTGCTACATAGGAGATTTTAGATCACAACAAAAATTGTATGAAGCATGATATTTGTATAGATTTTCCTAAAACTGTAGACCTGTAGTTCATCCTCACTCCTCCATTGAAGCAAACATATCATCTTCTTAACTCTTCCTTTGTCCTCCCCTTGCCTTTACCCATTTTCCCTACCATCCCCTCATGTGAACCAAACTAAGGCTTAAAACTCAGAGTCTTAAATTACAGGGGAAGATGCCTCTGAAGGAGCCATTGTCAAACGTAGGGGACGTTTCCAAGTAACTTCAGCAGATTTGAGTCCAAAGGTATATACTTTCCAAGAGTGTCTTAAACTCCTCTTGTAACAATGGCAAAAACCATCTTGAACTGTTTAAAAATGCTGAATAGTAAGTGCATAACTTGTCAATTTATCTTTTAGGCAATGGCTCTGTAACCATTGCCTTTTCATTATTATGTTCAGGGTCCTACAAACTGCTTTGTAAATGCTGTCTCTGGAGGTTTGAATGGCCCAACTGTTCCTGGTCCTATGGCTTCTTCAGTTCTACCATCATTACAATGCATGCTGCAGCAGAATATGTTGCAAAGAGTAATTTCTGCTTGCTTTAATTTTCTTTAGTTCCGCTTGGAACACATAAAATGCTGGGGAAAGATAATAGGGAGGAAAATAGACAACTTGTTTAAATACCACAACAACAACCCAGTTGAATCACACACAACTTGTTCAAATACAATAAATCAAATTTTAGACATTCGCTCAAACTTATATTTGCATGTTTTATTACAGAGTATATAGTTGTTGTACATAGTAAAAACTAAAAACTAAGAAACCTAAATATATGTAAAATTGTTAAAGGGGGAATTCGTAAGAGAATTTGGGAGAATATAAATTGGTTCAAAGTTTCAAACTCAATAAATCAATTTTAGATATTTGTTCAAACTTTTTTTGTTTATATATTTCTACTCCCTCTGTCTGTAAGTAAAGTCTCATATGGTCAAACTACATCGTCTTTTTTACTTGTTTACTTTAATCATGTGTTACTATAAAATAACCTTTTCACCACTTGTTTTATTTTCCTTAACGTTTTCCCCTTCCTTACCATTTTTCTTCTACCAAACATAGCCTTAAGGCTCTATATCGCACATTACTTAATTATTTTCTACTGATCTATTCAGGAAGAACTCATTAAAATGATCAAGTATGTGGAACAAACATCTGGTAATGCCATTTATGTTTTGTTTTCAAATGGCCCTTTATTTTGATTATTTTATGTGGGGTAGAGTGTCTGACGGCATGCCCTTGTCAACTTCAATGCAGTCAATTCTGTAAACACAGTTGAACCTGGAAGTAATGGCCCTTCACAGGTACTTATAATTTCTTTATTGCCTTGTTTGGGGGGGGGGGGTAATGAGAGAAAGGAAGAATTTCTTTTGTTTGGATCCCAAATAAATTGGGAGACAAGGTCACAAGAGGGCAAGAAAATGATAGGCTTTAAAAGTAACACACCTATTTCGCTTTAAAATTATAGTCTCCTTATTTGTCCTTCTCTTCATGCCATATTCAATTCCAGGGTATTTTTGTCATTTCAAAAGTAACACACATATTTCTCTTTTTTTTACAGACTTGTTTCTTTTCTACCAAACCATTTTTCTCACCTTTTTTTTTATTTCAGACTCTTTCTTCTGTCTTTCTTTCACTCCTATTTCTCTTGTCCACTAAACTAGAGAAATGACAAGCTTAAAATATAAAAATATAGATTAATTTTCAAATGTTATCATATCAAAATGTACTCATATGTATTACAAATAATAAAATTACATAATAAAACATTATACTCCATAACAAAATAATAATAAGAACTTCATAAGATAATGGCCTAAATGCCTGATATAAATGTTGTAAGTTCTTTGTTTTTTGTAATTTAAATATTTACTGATTGCCAAGTTATATCCATTTTATTATTAAAATTACAAACAGTTGAATTGTAAGACCTAAGTTCTGGAAAATAGCAGATTATAAAAACCTACGTAGTACTCATTGAACTTAAGAGTTGAGACCTAAATTGAATGTTTGAGACGAAAATATCAACATATTGAAAATTTGAGACCTACTCAATTTTTTTCATATATAGCGTACACCTGGATAGTTTAGAATCAGAGCAATAGAGAGTTCAGATTTGACAGCACATCGCTTAGCAATTCAGTATTGAGAGGAGAGGTGAACATATAAATTTTTATTAAGGCTGTTTAGCCCTTAATGAGTTTCAATTCATTAGTAAAGAGAATTCTGAGAAGTACTGTGCGAGAAGCTGAGAAGTGGATGAGTTGCTACTTGCTACGCTAGGGGAGGATTGATGAATACATGAAGTGAAGATAAAGATGTTTAGGAAAATTTGGCACGGCCTCTTATAGATGGAAAAAATAATAAGAATAGAACTTAAACTATGCTTCCATGCTAGGTATAAAAATTTCAAGGCACTTGGGCTAAGACTGGCCGGCCCTTGTCTCATTATGTCATTGACTTATTGTATTAGCTGGCCATGTATGCCATCCAAAGTTTGGACGAGTTGCCTGCCTCTGCATTTAATCTTTTTTTTGTTTGTTTGTACAAAGGCACCTTCTACTTCCTCAAGGGAGAGAGATCTGATGTGCCAGGTGATCCAATTGCAACAAAGGTACATATAGCATATTTGTTACTGCATATTTGTGGGGATTGGGGATCAATGCCGTGACTTTCCACTGATGTGGGCAAGTCCCATCCACTTGGACGATAGGGCACAGCAAGTGACATATCTCTTAAATATTTAGCACTTTGTTATGTCTGTTTAATTGAGTTTTTCAAATAAATGTCAGTGCTGGAAACCTGATTGAAGAGTTGCAAAGACAGAAGATGAAAAATGCTCAAGTATGTATTCTGTCATTACAAGTTTTTTTTTAACAAATGAAAATAGACTAAAGGTGCGACCAGTTGGTTGTGTGGCTTACGAACTTTTTTTGCTTGGTTGGCTTTAGACTGGTTGAAATGGATGTTACCAATCAAATGGATGTTTCTCCTTTCAGAATATTCAGCTCATTCCAACCAAATAGCTCTTAGTAAAGGGGTCCCGTACTTTCTCTAAAATCAACCTTTTTACTTCCCGTCCTCAATGAGTCAATGTTATCCTAAAATTTTATGAAATCACATTTGTATGGTGTCAGAGTTAATGATCCCAAGGGTTGGCCCTAGAGTCTAACACTGATATTGGTCATTCGGGATGACAATGGGTTGGATCACACTCTTATAGGTCCAAATAAAAATTGAATCATAAAACCAAATCCAAATTTGAATCCAACTATGTCGGATCCGCATCGATTCAATCCAATTCTTATCGGATTTGGAGCAATCTGATTACCATATGTTCATGCCTTCATGGGTTACCTTATAGTTAGACCTCATGTGTAGGATTGTGATAAAGCTTGAGCTTGATTGAATTTAGAATTAAAAAAAGTACATCAAGTCCCAATTCGAGAAGGGATAGTCTCCAGATTCTCAAAGGAAAATACAATAAAAGATAATCACATAAGAAAATAACATGACACTAAGTAATAAACCCACTCTCAGGGGAGTTGGTAACTGCCACGTAACTAGACCTGGCAAAACTGACCCGGACCCGATAACCCGAATCGAATAACCCGGAACCGAACCCGATTTGACCCGAAAACTGAAGAACCGAAATAGAACCGAACACCCGAAATGATCCGATCCGAACCGAACCCGAACCGAATGTATTCAGACCCGAACCGATTAAACCCGAACCCGGTTAAACCCGAACCCGATTAAACCCGGAACCAATTAGACCCGAACCCGATTAGACCCGAAATTGATCAAATTCATTAATATTTCATTTATCAAATGAATTTGGAGAAAAAGAATTACCTATATATTTTTACATATGTTGATGTGTTTCTAAAAAAACATATTTAAATTATGGGTGCAAACCATGTAACTACTTTCATGTACAAATTTTTTACTTTGCATTTTATAACTTAAGTTAAAATACTTTTGTATTTTTATAGAAAGTATATAAAAATTATAGTTAACTAAATTAACTAAGTTTATTACGTGATTTATTCATTTATTAGTATGTATGTGTTTACATTATGCTTGAACTAATATAAATTTAAACCGATATAAACTCAAATCTATATAAACCCAAATCAATACAACCCGAATTGATACAAACCTGAACCGATATAACCCGAACCGATACAAACCCGAACCGATACAAACCCGAACCGATACAAACCTGAACCGAAACCGGAAACCAATCAAACCGAAATAAACCCGGAACCGAACTGACCCGAACCGAACCGACCCGAACCGATTATAACATATATCCGAAAGAGACCCGAACCGGAACCGAACCGATTGACCCGATTGCCAGGTCTACACGTAACCCACCCACTCAGGCCTCAGCCACTTAGTGGGTTGTTTGAAATGCCCATTAACATTTTGAGCTGCTCCACTTCTGCCGGCCCACCCTTTGCCATCTTCTTTTTCCTTCTTGAATATACCAATCTGATTGGAGGCTTATCACTACTACCCGCCCGGTAAAACGACTTGTCCTCAAGTCGAAAGGAAGGGAATTGAGCTCGCAACAGATCATAACACTCCCAGGTAGCTTCCTCCACTGGAAGTTGACACCAAGAGATGAGTAACTCCAGCACATGCTGACCTGCTTCCCATACCCAGCGGTGAGAGAGAACTTCTTTAGGCTGCACGTCAAATTCCCAATCCTTTGTGATGGGGAGGGGAGCAATAGGTGAAGTTGGAACTTGCCCCCTAGCTGGTTTCAGCATTGATACATGAA